GCAGTACAGTCGGGGACAAATATACTGGCTGGTTTTCCTCTCTCAAGCCCGAGACCAATTGTCACTGTCCTCTCCCCCACCCTCCCTGCTGACTGAGATTGACTAGCTCAGCAGGGTTTGTGGATTCCTGTAAATTAGCGATTATCTATTCCACAAAGTTGGAACCGGACCCAAACTCTCTCAAGGTGAAAAGCAGATAGTGTCATTCCGTTCAATCAAACACTTTCTCGGCATCCAAGGAGACAGTAGTTGTGAGGTCCGTGGTTTCACTCGCTCTTGCCTTCACTTTAACACTCGTTGCTCAATCCCTCTCCTTTGGAAATCCAACCCAGGTCAGCACTTACCAGTGAACCCAACATTTCTTCCAATCTGAAGGCCAATCCCGTCGCCGGTGTTTTGAAAGGCAGCGTTGAGGAGGGTTGTGAACTGATAACTGAATGCATTCCAGAGCTGGCTTCTTAGGCTTCGAGAGTTGCTGCCATGCCCTATTGTCCTGGGAACATTTTCCTCTCTCAAGTTCCCGAAAGCTTAAACTTTTCTTTAGCAATCTACAGGAAACGTTTGCTCTCTCCCTCGATGGCTCGCTCACTCGCTCTCAAGGCTTTCGTCAGCTGCCCCAACTCAGTTCAAATGGGTCCTCTGCTTGCATCAGATGCTCTACCTACAGCCCTTGAGTAAAGTCTGCACTTCCAACTTTCTAAGCCTTCTTCGAATTGACTGTCAATAGTCTCGTCCATCAATGGTGTCATTTTCTCCCCTGATTTTCACCTTTTATCTGGTTTCTCAACTTGGTTTCTGCCTATTCTATCCTTTCCTGTGGCTCTATTTCGCATGGCTACTCTCTCGTTTTCGCTCTCCTATATCCCCCAAAAACGTGTGCATGCTCACCGCAGGTTCAGTTTTCCCTCACAGAACTTTATGGCCAGCCGCACACCTTTCAACAGTCGCTTGTGAAATGCCTTCGGTTCAGCGACAGTTCTTGTAAAAACTTGGGCCCCACGTTTCCACAAAGTGAATTACCATTTCACTCACGTTCACATGCTTCAGTTACCAACTTAACTGTGTTGCTAAATATTTCGCCCAGTGTAAAAAAAACAGTGAACTTAACTCTATTGAACAGCACCAGGCTCCTAAAATCTCCACTGTGTTGGTTTTTCGTAGAAATCAAGCTCCAAATATGTGTTAACAGCAATTGAAAACTAAGGAGCTTTCACAGGCAACCCCCGATCTCTGGAACTTTTTCCAAAACACTTTGCCTTGCTACCCTCTCTGATGAACTCTCCCCCCAAATCCTTTTGGCTTGCTTCTTTTCTCTCTCTCTTCCTCGCCTTCAAAATCCTCTTAAAAACGTTGACCATGCTGATGGTCAATACCCCCTGATTCCCATTCCCTTTGTCTCGCTCCCGATTGTCTTTGTGAAGTTCTTTCAGATGGTCACCCCCTGGTGTAAGTAAGTACACGCTGCTTTGGTTGCTGACTTGGTGAACTTGTGTGCTGGGACATCCGCCTGTGGATACCGGTTTCGTAGCTCTCCTTCACGTCACCAATAATAATAATCCTCGCATTCGCTACAGCGCCTTGTCACGTCTTTGAGACGTCTCCAAGCGCTTCACAAAATATACTGTAAAGTGTAGTGACTGTATATTTTTGTGAGAGAAACACAAAAGGAAGATTGCATCCCGCTCCCATTCCCGACTCACTCAGTTACACTGACTCGGTTTTATTTTTGTCAGAGAGACCTTGGCTGAGAGTCTTCTGAGACGCTGGCTGCTAAGGATTCAACAGTTTAATAAAAACAAAACGGCTTGTGAAGTGTAAACAGGTGAGGAATCGACCTGTTTACATTACCACTTTGCGCTGGCACGCAGACACACACAGACATCTCTAATCATTTTATCTGATGGGCTGACACTCAATACCCATTTGCAAAACACTTTGCAAATCACAACAGTCCTCGTGGGCAATCGAGGGTGGGTGACTACAGGCAGCAGGTCACATCTACACTTGACAAAGAGGAGAAAGGGTTACCCCAGGATCATTGAAGAAGCAAAACAAGATAACATCTAACTTGTCCAACAAGCCTCCAGGTAAATCACTCATCTCATTCGCTTTATGGCTGTTTGCGAGTCATTTGCTTGTCCAAATTGCTTGTTGCATTTGTCAACGAGAAGACAGTTACTACACTTGACAGCCATTAGTGTGAAACACTTTGAGTCGCTTTAAAGTTATAGGCTTATTTAGCATATCAAACGCAAGGATTATTATTCTTGCATGGTGGTGGGGTGAGGGGCGTTGGTTCATTCTGTGCAAAGCAAAGTTAAGGATATTAGTACGAGAAAAAAATAACATTTCCTCTTTAGTTTGGGAAGGGTCCAATGACAGAATGAAGCATGACATTAGGAGTATAGCACAGACAAGATGCTGCTTATCCCACTGGCCTTCAATATCCATTCTCCTCTCAAGCAACCAGATGAGGAAGCCCTTTTCTCAATATAACATTGACAAAGCATCTCTTTTCTCAATTCTAGTTTACTGACCTTTTTGATTGAGTGCGAAACACAGCGTCACCCGACTGAGAGATCAAGGGTTCGGGTGACTGTCGTTGAAGGTGTTCCATACTGGGTCAGGTTGACGTGCGCTGACCTTCCACTCTTGGCTGAGGTCAGGCATGAACTAGAACATTTTTGGCCGGGGGGATTGCGACTTCTAATGGGCTTATTGTCAAGTAGTTGCTAATTGCAACCTGTGATAATTAAACACACTGAACAGGTCACGGGTATGACATCAGCCCTTGTTCTCTATTCCATTCCAATACCTGGATCTGAAGCCAACCCACTGAGTCCGCTCGACTTCCACCTAGTTACCACCAGAATAGAATAGAATGCCAGTGACCGGGGATATCAGAGGAACTCTCGATTTCCTGGATTGAGTCAGGGAGCTAACCAGCTAACCATTTGTTATCAGCAGGGTAGAACGTTCAGCAACGTGATAACTGAGGTCCAGGTTAATTAACACATCGCATGTTGCAATTATCACCCTGTTAAATTTTAACAGGCTTGTGAGCGGGGTTTCCCCCCCTTGATTTATAAATCCAGCGCAGGATAACAATTCCGTCTCCAAACCGAGCCCTCTTGTCAGATCAGAAGGCTAAACGAAAGATGGAGAAAGGAAGGGTCAAGGCAGAGGGATTGAGGGAGAGAGCTTCTGGGCGTAGCGCCCAAAAGCGCAGTCACCAATGGTGGAACAGAGGGCACGAGGGGCAAGCAGGAGGTGTATTCACTAAGAATAAGGTGAGCCCATTCTCCAGGGGTTCAAAGCGGAAGTGAGCCACACGACAATCACTTCGGAATGAAGGTTTCGCTGCTCGGACGGGAGCGATTAGCTACTTGCAGCTCTTATCTGCACGCCCCAAGCGCGAGATCCCGGTGTCGTTGGGTTCCCTTTGTTGCTTTGGAAGTTCCTTGAGTTGCTTCTGCTTTCTGTCAAAGCGAGGGTAGTTAAGTTGCAGTGCCTGGTGCTCCAGGAAGAAAGTGTACTGATTCATAGTCGAGATTGCGAGAGGCTTACAGGAGATTGAAGCTGCTGAAGAACACTAAAGAGGCAGAAGAAGCTGACTTTCTCGCTAATGCGGGGAAGGGAGTGGAGTCGTAATTCAGTCCTTATAGATAGGAGGATTTAAAACAAAGACTTAATGATGGTAAGGCAGACTCCTCGCTATCCAAATCCAAAGGTTATCATTTATCAAGTTTAGGACAGCAGTGGTTTGAAGAGAAAAGCACCTACCAACTCTTTGGAGACTGATGTTCCAATGTTGGGGGGGGAGTGCTGTATTGTCTGAGGTGCTGTCCCATCAGGTGAAATTCTAAGCCATCTGTGCCTGTTCAGACAGACGTTAAAGATCCCGTGGCACTATTGGAAAAGAGAAGCAAGTTACGCACTATTGCCCTGGTCAACAAACTCCGCCATTGTTGATTTGGGTCGAATCCAAACTTCCCTTTCCTGGTGCTATCTCTGAGGATCACTGCTCTGATCTGTGCTTTCCTGACATTGCGGAATTCAGCTTCGTATTGTCTGTCTGTCTGTCTGTCTGTCTGTGTGTAAAAACAATTGCTTCCCTGCTCCGCAAGTGTTTGGTGTCTGGAAGAATGCGGGTGCATATTTCCTTCTGACTTTCACCTTCAGAGAAGCAAGGTGGGTGCAGCACTTAGATTTACATTTAGTGGATTTATATCACTCAAGCGGTCTGGAAACTGTCACCATCTTTCATACCTCTTCATTTGCGATCTCGTAAAGACATCAATTCACTTTAAAAAAGTGACACTTGAAGCGAATGGTTAAAAAAAAAGAAAAAAAATGGAACGGCAGAGAACTGTGATAAATATCTGCTTTGGGGAGGCTGACAGCTTTTCCACTCATGTTCACTTGCCCGTGGTCTGCCACTCACCAACTCATCATCCCTCATCATTTGATGTAGCTCTCTTTCACACTGGGAAAAGCAATTCACAGGATACACTGTTAAAGTGGAGTGGCTGTGTGTTTTATAATGATAATGATATTGATAATAATCCTTGCATTTTGATATAGCACCTTATCCCGTCATCGCGATGTCTCAAAGCTCTTCACAGAATACACCGCAAAATGAATTGACTGTATATTTTGTGGGTGAAACTCGGCAGCCAATCGCGCACAGCAGCGTCCCACAAACAGTCGTGGATTGAGTGACCCAATTATTAATTTTTTTTAAGGGATTTTTACCCCAGGAAAAGCGATCCGCCAATCGACTTAAGAACCGGGTTCCTACTTACTTCGAGGTAAACAGAAGCGTGTGGAGTAAGGAAACTTGCCAAAGGTTTCGCCCTGTCCGAGAAACGGAACCCGGGTCCTCTCGCTCGTGAGGCGAGCGCTCTAACTAATATGCTACAGGACCTCACAAAGTGGAGCCACCAATTTGAGCGCCATCAACAGCCGTGAAGTGAGCCTGCTCTTGTCTTCTCTTCCAGGTTTACTCTTTACGCTCTGGACAGCAGAGGGAGACGTTCCGAGCCAAGCAGAGTCACCATGAGGACCTCGTGCCCACTCATTGACGATACAAAGGCCGAAGGTGATTTTGTTTCCACTCCTTCCAGCTAGTCAACAGCTGATTTGCTAGGTTCCCAATCTCTGTCCGCTGAGTATGGACGAGTTCTACCTGACTGTCCTGCTCAGTTCAGGCACCTAGACGGGCAATATTAACGCTACAGGATCTTACCTCCATGGAATTTGGGGAATTTTCGATGGGCGGAAATCCACCAGCACATTGTTAACAGGACATTTCCCTTCTGAGCTTTTATTTCTGCAGCTTTAAGCCTCCGCAGACTCTCAGCCTCAGCATGAAATATGACGGCGAAACATTCAGACCGCAGAGCGAAAATAAGAATAGGAATCAGAATAAATTGGACGCAAAATGATTTACAATTTATTTGAACAAGACTAATGGTAAACAGACGAAGATAGCTGTGGCTCACAGACACACACACACCACACGCACTACACACACCACACCACACACACACACCACACACACACACATGCACACAAAACCCTGCGCTCATTTCACAGTCTGAGGCGAATTAGGAGACTTGAGAGATCGCACGGAACAGAACAGCCGGGTGTGTGACTTTGCTGCCTTGAAGTCAGTACAGTTCATTAAAGGTCAGAGGTTGTAAATTAGCCTCATTTAGAGCTACTTCACCATAAGACACCCCCTGAAGTTTAATGTTGGCAGCCCCCCCCCCCACTCCCCCCCATAAATATCGCCATTTAACACGAGATATCAGTGTCACGCTGTTGCTATCCTTTATAACCAACACATTGAACTTTACTGTCTGCCCACTAAAAAAAACCTTATCTGCAAATTTTTTTTTTGGTGGGGGGGCTGTGGGTGGGGGTTGTTTCTTAACGGAATGATTTGCGAGCCAGTTTGATGCAAAGCAGGCGCTTCAGGAGGTTTTTGTTAGATTTAGGTATTTTTTTAAAGGCCGGCTGCCTCGCATTCATCATGTGTTGCTGCTGGGTGTCTTCAAAACACTTGCCCAAGGAGGCAGTGAAAGAGATGAACCATATCACGGGGAGACAAGTGAGCATCAAGGATCCCCTGCTTCTCCCTCCGAACCCCTTGTTCTCACGTATCTTTCCTGGGGATCAAGCGGCGTAAAGAGAGCTGCCGTTCGCTTGACTTGACTCCCGAGGCGGCAGTTTGATGTCGTGTTTCATCTGTGTTTCTCGCGCTGTTTTTCAGCGCTCCTTGAGACGGTCACTGGATCAGCGCGCTGACAGTGCTGTTGTTTCGGGGGAAAGAGAGAGGGGAGAGTTCCCAAGCCAGAGAGTTAAGGGAGCTGAAGGAGCGTAAGCAGAAGTTAAAATACTCGCTGAAGCATCACGGGTTAATGAAAGCATTTCCTGATGTTAATTTGGCTGCACTCACTCTGCCAGGATCGGGAGATTTGTTGTTGCCTCGAAGCAACCTTCCCTCTACCTCCCTCTCTCCCTCCCTCCCTATGTTATCGTTAGGGCTGCAATTTAGTCGTGGTAAATTTAAGGGAAAAAAATCCCGGATTAGTCACGGCAAAGATATCAAAAGTCATGGAAATCGTCGTCAAAAATTGCCAAACAGATGCATTGTTTACTCTGATTGCCGTGGCGTTTCGCGAGGACTGTACGATTAGTGAAACGATGTCGTCGCCAACACAGGAGTTTTAATTGTTAACGGAAATAGCAAATAATTGTTCTGAGCCAAATCAAAACTCCCCGACTTGGTTGTCAATTTTGGTTGTCTTTCCTTCATACACCCGTCTCCTTCCCTCTTGACACCCACAATTGACTCCCTCTACCACCTTGCAAGGCAGGACGTTCCTCGTCCCAATAACTCCCCGACGTGAAAAAAAATCTCTCTTAAACTCTCTTTTTCTCTCTTGCGACTATCTTATAACTACAGTCAATGAACTTTACATAGCAAATGCGAGGATTATTATTATTGTTATTATTATTACAGCCGCACGTCACTGACCTCCCAAACGGCACACATTCCGATTGGAGTTTTCCGATAGTTTTCCGACAGACCTACTTGACTCAGTCTTCGCTCTTGACCTTGCAGAAATAGCCGACAGGATCTACAACCTCTTCAATGGCTACACCAGCGGGAAGGAACAACAGACTGCCTACAACATGCTGATGGAGATTTCCTCGCCCATGGTGTATCGGGTCAGACACCATTACAACTCGCACTACGAAAAGTTTGGTGACTTTGTCTGGCGCACCGAAGATGAACTTGGACCCAGGTAACTTTTTCTCTCTCCGGTACACCGGGAACTTTACGCAAATTTTATTACTGCAGAGTCCATTAGTTAGGGTATTGCTTAGCACGCTCGCCTCACGCGTGAGAGGACCTGGGTGTGATTCGCCGGTGGGGCGAAACCTTAGGCAAGTTTCCTTACTCCACACACACACATGCCTTTGTTTGCATAGCAGTAGGGTAATAATCACTTAAAAATAATAATAATAAGTTGGCCACTCAATCCGCAACTGTTTGCGGGTCACGCACAGCCGTGCGGGATTGGCTGCCACGTTTCGCCCACAACAAGTGAATTCACTTTACAGTGTATTCTGTGAAGCGCTTTATGAGACACTCTCAACCGACGTGATAGGTGCTATATCAAATACAAGGATTATTATTATTATTATTAGCAGTAGCTGAGGTTATTTTTGGCCAGTCGCATTCCAGAGCTCTAATCAAATGACACCTGGCTCTGTTATTTATACACTGGGCTTTGAATTTTGCTGTTATCAGCACAAGATATCTCTAGTGTAAACTGGAAGCACTAGTATCTCAGATCCCTTTCTTTTGCACCCTTTAATTGGACGCCTTGCTTTGCTGTCACCCTACCCTAGCCGGGGGTGAAATTTCCTAATCTCATTCCATTCCTTTAAAACCATGGCTGGCAGATGTGTCTTAATTCCACACCCCGACCCCCCGCCCCACTCCCTCCCGAAATGTTGAGCGCCTTACAAAGAAAAAGTTTGACCTCAGCTCTCGTTTTATCACTGTTACTGACAGCGGAGAAATGTACGTCCCCAGTGGCAGGGGATGCGTACTGTACCACAAGGAGTTATTTGTTTGAAACTTGCCTGCAGCAACCTTATCTGAGCCCGCTGCCAGATACAGGAGCAGCGCTGAGGATTTAGAGGCAGCAAAGACGCAAATAACCGTGCCCAGCGTGTGGAGGGTGGGGAGGGAATAAACTCAAGGTTGGAACGCTTGTCAAATTAATGTTACCAAAGAAGCTCAATGATAATAATAATAATAATAATAATAATACATAATATTTGCATTGGATACAGCACCCATGACATTGACACACTTCACAGATAATTGCCGTCAAGTGTAGTGACTGTGTGTTTTGTAAGCAGTGGAGTTCAGCTTCACATTCCAGGCTGGCTCATTTAGTAGCACTCTCCCCTCTAGGTCAGAAAGTTGAGGCATTAAGACAAAATCCCATCTCTCTGTTCAGATGGACCATAACGATCCCATGGTACTATTGGAAAAGAGAAGGTATTTCTCTCGGTAGCTGAGGCAGAGTGTGTTATGGGGCGATGGGACTTTAATTGTTTTAAGTTTTGATCTGACCTGGGTAAGCACAAAAACAATGTACTTACCCTAATTGAGCAAATAGGTAACAGAAAATATATTTTTCCCCCCCCCCCCCCGTCTAAAAAAAAACCTTCACCCTTGGTGACCGCTTTGCAAATGCTTTCCAAGCGCACGGCTATAAAGCTCCAATTTGTTTTTCTTATTCCTCAAAAAAAAAGGGAAAGAGTGATGATCGTTTCACGGATTGCCTTTGCAGAATGTGCGTTTTATAAGGTCTTTTGGGGTTTGAGATTAGCAGACAGAGAATGGATGTGTAGTGAAACAGGACACAAGACGTTTGCAAGAATGATGCTGGGGATGGATAGTTTGACCTATGAGCGGTGACTGAAAGAATAGGGCGCTATATAAATGCAAGTTGTTGCTGTTGCTTATCGCATTGGACCCAATATTCATAGACAATCTCAGTCCATCTCTTCTGTCGAAGGATTCAAATAGAATGGTGGAACAGACTCGAGGGGCTGAATGGCGTACTCCTGTTCCTATGAATTCCTATGATTTCCTTACAATGGCAGAAATCTCTTTATTATTACTATTTTATATAAAAATTTAAAAGAGCGCTGGCATGAATAATAATAATGCTCGCATTTGATATAGCGTCTTATCACGTCTTCGAGAAGTCTCAAAGCTCTTCACAGAATAATCTGTATAGTGAATTGACTGTATATTTTGTGAGCGAAACTACTTTTTATAGGATGCAAAACATGGAAGATAAATAATTCTTGTGATACATTATCACTCCAAACTGCAGGAGAAATTACTCGAGTGTAAAACAAAATGCCGATGAATTAAAAGAGCTTTGTTTTTCTTAATGTCTAAACAACAGGAAATACTTGAAAGATTTATCTGAAAAGCAGAGCTAAGCAAACCATCTTTCTTGGAAAGTTTTATGTATTCAGATGGCAGCAGTTAGTGAGAAATGTTTAACCCAAAGGAAAAGAAACACAACTCCCATCTCCGTTGCCCTCTCCGCCCTCCACCCCCCCCCCCCCCACCACCCCTCGCCATGATCAAAAGGGTCATTCTTTCTCGCTACTCACTGAACCTTCCTTTCAATAAAGCAGAGATTGTAAATGCGTCTGCGTGTGTGCTCTGGCTCTCTACCCAGACAGAACCCATCACTATATTTAGCAATCGGTGGAACTTCTTTCGTCATTGACTTCTAGGCATTGTCCAGGATGACACTTCGGCAGAGTGCTGGGGGGAAGCGCATCATTGTCAGAGGTGCCGTCCTTCGGATTCAAGATCCTGTGGCAGTATCTGAGAAAGAGAAAGGACGTTCTCCCTATGTCCTGGCCACCAATCCTCCAGATAAAAATTGGTTGCTTAGTTCATGGCTGTTTGTGGGACACTGCTGTCCTCAAATCGGCTGCCGAGTTCGCCCACAAAACACACAGTCAGTCTCCTTTACAGTGCTTTGGGACGTCTGACTGGCGTGAAAGGCACAATACCAAATATAAAGATTATTTTTATGAGGATTGTTTTATTAATAGTAGGTAGTATCTTCAAATTAAGTATTGGAGCTGTGCCCTCGTGCTGTCTCTGTGCCTCACAAAGCACAGAGGTATATTTTCAGGGCCATAATAGTCCTGAGAATTTAATATCAGATTCTTGCCAAGTGAATGTTAAAAATAGTGATCAGTTCTGCCTGGGGAAGAGTCAGTCCACGTATGCGCAAGTGTTTACAATCGCCAATTAAATGAAGTTCAGAAAAAAAAGTCCCCACACATTTCCCTATAAATAGCCCATGGATTAGAGAGCGAAGAGATTGAGACTGATTCCATTTCAGGGGAGTTTTGCTTTTATAATTGGCTTGCATTTCAAAATGGCTTACGGTGTCTTCTTCAGCACCAGACCCTGTGTGTGCATCTTCTATGTTCAAAACCCATTAGCACTTTGACTCCTCTGGTACTTTGTTCCCGTGATGTGGATCATAAGTCATTGGGCTTTAGGAACTGTTTAAGCCTCATATTGCAATATAGTACAAACAACTGCCAAAAATTGGCCTCTGATTTTGTTTTTCTTCAAAGTTAATGAATTTGAGCATCACTTTGGGGTTGGCTCCTATCTCTTGCCTCTGGGTCAGAAGGCTGTGGGTTCAAGCCCCAAGTCCTGGCCAACAGTACCCTCAGACAAAACTGATCATTCACTTTGTGGCTGTTTGCAGGACTGTGCTTTACGAATTGCTTTGCTAATTCTTATGCACTCACTGGAAAAGCTGGAATCCTAATTTAAGTTAAACATGTTGGTGACGAATGCTAGGTTTTACTCTGGATCGCCTTCCCCGCCCAAGTCAAACCCCCTTCACCTCCCCCCCACACACACAAACACACACACACACACACACACTCTCCAACCATGGTGTGCTTGTAAGATTAAAGTCTTCTCCACAAGTGGAGAGTTGGCCCTGTTACAAGAAAAGCTGCCTTTCAGGAGGACAAGGTTCCACCAGAGACCGTGCATAGAAAGGTAATAGCGCAAGGAAAACACAGCAATACCATCAGTCCCCGGAGCAGTAGCAACAGCGCCTTCGTTCGCTGAGTGAACTCGTTGACTTTTCCTGTTCTGGTAAATGTCTCGACTCTCTGAAGGTGCTGCGAAGCAAACTTGCAGTACGTGTTTCGAACCCCTCGAAGGGGATCTAGCAAATGCATGAAACGATAGGGCCAACAGGTTAGTTACTGACACAGAAGTCCAATGAATCAGTGCAATCGGAAAAGCAACAAGTACCTTTGCATTTCTGAGGTCGTCGGTGTCGAACGCGTCCATTTCAACGCTATTCGAGCAAAAACTTTTTCTTTTGCCACGTGTCTTGACACATCGAACAGAGTTACACGTTTGCACCTAAGTAGCTCCGTTAACAGGCGTGAGATGCCTCCAAGCTCACGGGTTTTGAACAAGTTACATTGGCGCCTTGGGGTTTCGATACACGAGCCCTCTTGTTTTTCCCCTGTCATTCCTCTTGGGAAAATGTTTTTTCTCTCTCTCTCCCCGGCATTTGGAAGGGAAAGTTGTCAGCTCCCAACTAAAAATATACCGGAGACTGAAACTCTGCAAGACTGCAGTTGTGGAAAGTTGGAAGCTGCCGTAAAGAGTGTATGGGGGGGTGGAGAGAGTGGTGGGGGAGTCCCAAATGTGGAAAATGAGCCCCAAAGGCTTTAAGTATCATCAAAGTCGCACAATATCAGGGCTGAACTGCCCTCCTTCTCCCCACAGCACCCCTCCCCACGTAAAAAATGGGCCGAAGAGCCGTCCTCACCCAAACCCATCTTGTGATCTAAATAGCAATTCTAATCAGGATTGGATTATTGGTCCATCCAGTCTATCCGGCCAGTTTCCCACTGGGTTCGTTCGATCTGTTCTCGGACTCAAGCAACGTATGCGCTTTGAGATGCTCTCCCAATGTGAAAGGCACTGTATCAATATCATTTAGACGCATCGGGTAACGTGGAATCTTTTTTTTAGATGAACAGATCCCCAAAGTTGCACTCATCCATCAAAGCACATTAATTTCCCTTGTGCTCCGTGTAAAAAAAACAGAAGTCACGGCCAATCTGGCTCTTCTTTCACTCCCTCCAACTTCCCCTCCCCATGCCCCAATCCCCACCCCATTCCAAGAATAAGTTTGCCAAA